CCGCCCCAGCCTCCGGGGCCTGTCCGCCTCCACCAGCCGCCGTGCCCGCCGCTGCTCCCGCCGCCGTGCCAGCTCCGCCAGCCGCTGCGCCACCTGGGCCTTGATCCCGCGTAGCCTGAAGAGCTCCTGGTGCCGGAGCCGCGCGGCCCGCACCTCGGCCTGCTGCACCCGCTGCAGCAGGGCCGGGCGGAGTCAGGGGCCGGGCAGAGCGCTGTCCCCCCTCCACTGAGGCCCCTCCAGCGCCCCCTCCCCCGACTTCTTCACAGCCGTTTCCTGAAACCAGCGTCCTTACCCACTGGTGGCCTGCAAATCCCACTCCCCAAATATTAACGACCAGGGCACAGAGACTCGGTCTAGAACACTCCCTGCTGCATCCTGAGCCCAAGTGCTGCGAGCGCAGCAGGGGCAGGCCGGAGCCCGCGGTGCTCACCATCTTCTGGGCGGCCTTCTCCCGCCGCCGCTGCTGCTCTGTCTTCTTCTCCACGGCGGCCAGGCGTATGGGTGCAGGGGACGCCTCCCCGCCTGCGGCCTGCTCCCCTCCAGCCTCGGGGCCCTTGTCTGGGCCCTCGCCCGGCTCACCCTCCCCGTCCGACTCCTCCAGCAGCCCCTGGCACAGCTCCTGGAAGGCAGACTCCTGGGGCGGGAGGGAAGCAGTGAGTCGGGGGCCGTGCGGGCGGCCGGGCAGGGAGGGGTGGGCAGGTGTGAGCTTACCTGGGTGGCAGGCTGCTCTGAGGGGGGCAGGGCCAGCTGCCGCTCCAGCTTCTCCGCGTCCTTCTGCCGCTGCAGCTCGACCTCGTGGGCTGCCAGCAGCAGGGTCTAGGTGGGGAAGGGGGTCGGGGGTGAGGCCCCAGGCCCCCCAGGCCTCTCCTGGGACTTACAGACCTGGCCCCACCCCTGCACCCAAGGCCCCTCTCCACCCCCCGCACAGCCAGGGGGCGCTCTCTACTCCCAAGCCTCCTGTCTGCTCTGTCCTTTCTCTTAGAGGACCGCCTGATCCCTGATCTCTGCACGCAGTACGGTTTTGTTCACGTGAAACACAGAACAAGTAAATCTGTAAAGACAGGAATGACAGCGGGGGCTGCCTAGGGAAGATGGGGCATGGGGGGGGGTGGTGATGGCCGATGGGCGCCACGTTTCTTTCTGGGGGGATGAAAACATTCTAACGTACTGGTGAGGGCCACACAACCCTGTGGATACGCTAAAAACCAATAAATTGTGTGCAGTAAGTGGGTGAACCCTCAGGCGTGGGAATCCTATCTCTGTAATACAGTTCTGTGAAGAACAAAAGACACGGACTGATCTTTCCACGTTGTCCCCCAGCAGCCACGTCAGTCCACGGGGGAACGGACTACGGTTCGTGGTCTCCTCTGCTTGTGACCAGCCTCATCCTGCTCCCGTTCAGGGTCATGGGGTCTGTTTCTGCGGACATCTTTTATCGGAGCAGAAAACTGCTCGCTCCGCTCCTGGTCGGCTAAGAGGCCCTCTTATCACGAATGAGGCTGAACGGCACTCGCTCGAGCGTCCTGCGTCTCCTCAATGATCTCAATCTCTCTCTGGGGACCTGTGCTCCCCGGGGGCAAAGGGTCTGTCTCCTCTGTTCATGACATCCATCGCCAAAATACACAGTGACTCTCACAGCCAGGTGTCCCACTGCTGACCCAGCCTAGGCCTGAGATAAATCTTACCCGCTCAGACTGCTAATATTTCTTTGAAGCTTTTTGCGTGTAAGTCCCGTGGACTCCCCGAAAGATGGCGTGGTCTCATACACCCCCGGGCCTTCGTACATGCTGTTCCTTGCACACGCCTGAAACACCCATTCCCCTCTTCCCACAACAAGCTCCTCCTCACATCTCTGGTCTAAACTCTGATATTGCCTTCCTCCAGGAAGCCCTCCCTGACCCCCAAGGCTGGGTTTGGCGACTCCTCTGGGTTCCTTCATCCCAGGCCTCTGGGTCATCACTGTCTGGGAACAGGTCTGTCTCCCCCGCTGGACCATGAGCCCCAGGAGGGCAAGCGGGGGGCTGCCTCAGTTGCTGCTGACTCCCCAGCAGTGGGTGGATACAGAGGAGGTACCCGGTGAGGCCAATCCAACCAAGCAGCCAGGCCCCAACTGAGGAGAGACCGCGTACCTGGTGGTCCTCAAAGGATGGGTTGTAGGAGGCTCCAGCCGGTGTCACCTCCACGGCAGGGACCTGGGAGGGCTTGGTGTACAGATGTGGTGGCCGCTGGAGGAGGACAAGGCAGCATGAAGCCTGGCAGCCCCACGACTCGAGACCTCACAAGCTTGGGTGCTGGGATTCCAGGCGTGGTAGGCGGCAGAGGCCTCGGCAGGGCCCACGGCCTTCAAACTGGGAGGTACCTGTGGGTCTGGCGTCTAGAACAATGGACACCTGCTACCCAGCTGCTGTGCTACCCACGGGAGCCACATCCCCAGGAGAAGCAAGCTCCCTGCAGGGAGAGGTCCTGCCTGCCTTTCCTGAGAAAAGTCCCCGTGACCCTGTGGTGGGCAACATCGGCAAAAACAGGGGTACAGGGCATCTTGATTTTAGTCCCCAGTCTGTCACCCTGACACCCGCAGCAGGCTTGGGAGAGGGTGGGGGTGTTCTCTGTCATGCAGAGCAGATGACAGCAGATAGAGGGCTGGCAAAGACTCTTAGTATGGCCCCGGGCCCTGCCGGGAGCTGGTGACAAATGCAGAAACCCAGGTCCACAAGGAATGAATCTGAATCCGATCAGGACCTGCACCTCAACAAGACTAAGGCAGGGGCAGGGGGGGTGGGGTGGTGGTGGCTTCCCAACTGGCCTCTGCCTCAGCAAAGGCCCTCAGTCCCCAGCAGAAGCCTGGGGGTAACCCTGGAAGCCCCCTGCCCCCACCTGCTCCCCACCCCCGACTGCCCACCAGTCCCAGTGCTTCTGCCCAAGAGCGCCATCTTGGGTCCCCCCCACCCCCACGATCCCGCCTCTGCAGAGCTGCCACCTGGACCCCATCACTCTCCTATGCAAAACCACTCAAAGGAACACTCCACACCCTGAGTGGCGCTCCCTCCCACCAGGCCAGCGTCCTCCGGACCTCCTACTAAGCCCTGCCCCTGAGCGCTCGAGTTCCCTGCCTGGAGGCCCTTCCCTCCCGCCCAGGTCCAGGCCTCTTCCCAGTGAAGCTTTGCTTGCCCCCTGAAGCACCTCCCGCTGACTGCCACCACCCGGCTCTCTCCTCTGGAGGCACTAGCTCGAGGCCCAGCTCCTGCACATGTGGTTTTGGCCACAGGCTGAGACTGAGGCTCCAGGGCCCCAGTGTAGCTCCCACCACCCCAACCCTCCTCCGATCCATCACCAAGGGCACCCTGCTGCCACAGTCTCACCTTCACCCCTTTCTTCTTGGTCTGCTCCAGGAAAAAGGTGTCCTGGCCAGCCAGGGGTCGCTCCAGAGGGTCTGTGGAGGCAGTGAAGGGTGGCTGCTGGGGCTTGCCAGTGTGGCCTGAAGGGCTCCCTCCCATCCCTCCCCCGCATAAAGACAGCACCCAAACATGGGTAAGGGAAGGACTGACTCTCAGACCCCAACGGGTTTTGAATGCCAAGCAAAAGAGCATATGGACAGGTCCAGAAAGCAGAAGGGAGCCAAGGCTAAGGGGCAGGGGGCGGCCCTCAGGAAAATGCACTTGGGAAAGGGGAGCCCCTCCAAGACGTTGAACTCTACTGAGGGTCATCGAATCAACAAGTGCAGAGTACCTCCCTTAGACATTGTGCTCTTGTGCAATGCACAACCTGCACAACCGTGCATGGCAGCCTTGTCCCCACCCACAAGTAACAACAGAGGCACTCACTGTCTTTGGCCCAGAGATCATAAAAAGGCTGCTTAACGGTGTCTTGGGGCCCAGGCTTGGCTTTGGTCGCGGGAGGGTTGAGGAGCCGGGCCTGTGCCCTGCGCACCTCCCGGGGCAGCTCGCCCTGCTTGGCCAGCTTCTCCCATAGCTGCTCCTTCCGTTTGAGTTTCCTGGCATTGGGGACCTGGTGGGCGAGGATGCTGGGTGGAGGAGAAGCAGCACAGGTGGAGTGAAGCAGAGGCCTGAAAAAGGGCCCAGCTCCTCCCAGTCAGGCTCTGCACCCCCACTACTCGGCAGCTCCTCCTGCCTCTCCTACCCAGCTTCAGAGCCCATCTCCTGACCCGAGAGCCAACAACACGGTGGCCTCGGCAGCCCTCGCCCTGTGGATCTCCCAGAAACCTCACATATCACTTCAAAACCAACCTCAGGTTCGCCCCCACAACCGTTCCTCCCATATCCCCATCTCAGGAGCCGCCCTCTGTCCACCCCATCACCCATCCAACCTCTCCTCCTTCAGAGCTGTCACTCAGCCAGCCTGATGGGCCTCCTGATGGCTCCCGGCCATCCCTCCTCTCCATCCCCAGAGCTCCCGGGTGGGCTGAGGCCCCGCACTTACCTGCCTCAGCCACAACACCCCGGCCCCCACCTCACTTCCTCCGATCTACCCCCCAAAGCCCCATCCCTCTCCTCCAAGTGATGCTCACCTGACCCCCTCCCTCCCTAGGAACTCCCTTAGGGCCAGAAGTGAGTGGCACCGCTGCACAGAAGGGCACGATGCCAGAGCCCAGCAGGGAAGACAGGTCTGGGGGTGGGGGGACACTCACTCTTTGGGGGCAGGGACCTTGGATGTGTTCTCTAGGATGAGGTCAACACGAAGGGGTTTCTTGAGAAGAAGTGACCTTTTCTGGCTTTTGGTCCTCTTCTTGTTTAGTTCTGGGGTTGGGAGAAAGGAGCGCAATCAAGGGCTCGGGCCTCCTTGCTTCCCAAGACCAACTCCCCACCCCCTGCATTTCAGCTCCACAGCAGCCATCAGACCCGCATCCTGGTGCAGACACGGAGGCCTCAGGCTGGCCCCAGGCTTCCACCTGGGGAAAGAGGTGCCCAAGGTGTCCAAGCTCTGCCCAGCCCCCCAACACACCCATTTCCTGGGCCATCTGGAGGCAGCCCTGTGCTGGGAACAAAGAGAGGGTCAGACCCACAGCCCTGCCCTCTAAGGACTCCCGGACAAGGCAGGAAAACCAGGAATGCTAAAGAGAAAGAAGGCGACCAAGTGACACTGAGGCCCAGGGAGCTGGACTCAGGATCCAAAATGGCTGATTCTCAGCACAACGGTTTTCCACCTGATAGCAAAAAGCAAACTCCACGACCAAACACACTAGGACAGAACCCACGTCCTTTCGTTTCCTAGGTTACATCATAGAAGACTTTACTCCTCTGTGCTTCCAAAATGAGAACCTTCATGTCTAACTCACGGGGTTGTCTGGAAAGGTAAGGACTACGACAGCATGAGGCACCGTGATTACCTGGGAAAGCCCACAATCCCTATTATCTTTCTTTTTCTTTTCTTCTCTGTGTCCCCAGGACCTGAAACTAGGAGCCACGAGTCGGTCAGTCACGTGCCACTGGAGCTGCTGTCCCACCAGAACGGAGCCCGTAAGCCACAGCCAGACCAAAAGGCCATGAAGAGTGCCTGTATCTTTCCTTTTTAAGCCAAAAGCAGAATCTATAAACTGCCTCTCCTCTGTTCCCAAACAGACTTCATACTGGCCAAAGCAGGCCTTCGTGACTACCCTACCTGTTCACTAGGGCGGGTCCTGCCTTCCCCTTGCTCTTACACGCCCGATCGGCTCACTCCCGTGAAAGGTGACCTCTTTAATAATCATCTCTCACTCGCTTGCTCAAAGTCTCCTGCACCTCAAAGCAGGTCCCTTTCCGGTTCACTGAAACAGGCCCTCTCACGTTCCAGACCCATGGACTGAACCCACACATGCTCTCTAAGGGCATCCTGCTGTTAAAGCCCCTTGCCATTTGCTCATTAAAGCAGACCCTTAGCTTGTTTTCTATCCCCTCATTAAAGCGATGGTCTATTTTTGGTCTGTTTTTCTACCTACTGATGGAAAGCCTATCATTCGCTCAAGCCATCCCTAACTCCCCTCTCCTGTACTCTGTTTCAGCAGCCCCCACCCCCGCCACCCCGGCTTTTTGGCAAATAAAAGTAAGCAGATTAAGACGAGCTTCTTACCTACTTACCTATTACCTACTCGTTAAAGCAGATCCTCTTATTCTTATTCAAGCACATCTTACTAAAACAGGTCTCGTCCCTTACAGCTTTTCTGCAAGTTAAGTAGAGACCTGCTAATTTACATCTAATCTACTCGGAGGCAAGACCTCTGCTGGCTTCTCTGTGCCAGATGGAGACTTGGGAATTGCCAGATTGAAGACTGAGAGCTCGGAAACCTCAAAAAGAAAATCTAACTTGTTAGTCTTTCATTCCAAGCCCTCTTATTTATAGTAAAGACCTTTTCCAGCCTATGCCTGCCATCCAAGCCATGTCAATAATAAAGACTCTCTCGGAGACTGAGATGGACTAAATAAGGACCAAGCAGGCACCACCGAAAGCTCTTCCTCACCTTTTTTCTTGGAGCCGGTATCCACGAAGAAGAGTTTCTCATCTGGGGCCTCTGATACCAAGCCACTGGGAGACAGAAATGCAGAAGGTCAGCCGGAGACGTTGGGGAGGGTGCAAGCTGCTGGGGAGGGAGGTTTAACCTCTCAGGGGCCAGGCTTTCCTCTAGTACTATGCTCATTCAAGCGCCTTCTGTCCGCCATGAGATCCCTCCACGCTAAAGCTTCTCCCTTCAAATCACAGAACTTAGTACTTAACAGATCATAATGCTTAAAATATCGTAATATTTAATCCTCAGCGCTACGCTAAGGCGGGTGCACGGGCACACTTACACTACAATTATTACTTACTTCCCTAAATTCTAACTTAACACTGGGAGTTCTGTATCTGCGGACCCAACCAAAACCCCAAACCTCACCCCAGAGTCCAGCGGTGGCCGGAACACACACGCGCAGCCCCCCCGGGAAGTCCCCCCAAGCACGCTCGGCCTCGCACCCCGCCACTCCGAACGAGGCCCGGCTCCCGGAAGTCCCGCCCCACGCACCCGCTCGTGCGCTCCTGGAGCCGCACGTCCTCCAGGAACTGGTCAACTTCCAGCCCCAGCGGCTCCTCTGCGAGCCGCCGCCAGCCTCGTTTCTTATTTCTTGGGCCTCGCCGCCGCCGCCTCAGCGCCGGGTCCACCGAAGTGGGCCGCAGTCCCAGGAAGCCGGAATCGGCCTCGCTTTTCGAGCAGTGCGTGCTGCCGCTGTCACTGCCTCCCGGCGCCATCTTGGCAAAGGAAGCCTCGGACGGCCGGCGCCCCGAAAGCCGGTTTGTGGCCTGCGCGCGCAGATCTCCCGCCCCCTCCAGTGACCTACTTCCGGTTACCGCCATCTTGGTAAAGTGTCTGGAACCGCCAAGGGGCGGGGATAAAGGGTAAATGTCTCTCTCCTCCCTCTTATGCCAAGTCCCGTCGGCCGCGCGTCGCGGGTTCGCGGCTCTAGCCCTAAGCAAACAGCTTTACTGCGGCTCAGGAATATTTTTAAAATCTGCGTATGTTTTTAATCTGTAACTTACTGATTATTATTTTTAGTCCAGCTGTCTTAAAAAAGAAAATCAGAACCGTCGGTGGGAGATTCGGCCGAAGACACGCTCCAGTCTCAGAACGTTTGGCTTCTCAGTGTTCCGATCCTAGAATCTTGGAAATCCAAGAGATTTCCGAATGTCGAGTTGGGAGCACAGAACCTCATATATGCGAGGAGTGTTAGAAACATACAGTGTTGGCAGTGTAGGCTCGGGATCAGTCCTGGGCAAACTGCTTCGCTGTGCCTCACTTTCCTCATCTGTGAAACAGGGACGATTATGGTACATCAACCTTATAAATTATTCAGGAGAGGAAACGAGATAAACGCGCGGCGTTTAAGATTGTGCGTGGGGGATGCCTGAGTGGCTCAGTAGGTTAAGCGTCTGCCTTGGGCTGGGATCATGATCTCGGGGTCCTGGAATCAAGCCCCCAGTCGGGCTCTCCGCTCAGCGGGGAGTCTGCTTCTCCCTCTCCCTCTGTGCTTTCTCTCTCTCTGAAATAAATATAAATAAATCAATCTTAAAAAAAAAAAAGATTGTGCCTGGTATATCTCAATGTTAGCTATTGTTACTGGCTCGGCCCCTGAGGTTTCATCTTAGAATCAACTAATCTTTGCCGTTTACAAATAAGGAAGGAAGCTCGGAGGCCCTTGGGCGCTGGCAACCATTCACAGGGATCCAGGGCTGCCTACAGGCCGCTCTGGACGCGAGAGGGAAGAAGGCACAGAGAGGGAGGGCGCCACGCCGGTGGTCGCACAGCGGAACCCCGCGGGATCCTCGCGACCCGCCCTGGAGCCCCGAGCGCGGACCGCCTGGCTCCGGGGTTTCAGCGCGCAGCCCGCGCAGCTCCCGAGTGCCCGCCAGGGGGCGCTGGGAGCCGCGAAAGCGGGAGAGCGCGCGTGGGCGGGAAGAGCGAGCGGTCAGCGCGTCCCGGCCGCGGTGGGTGTGGTCGGGGGGCTCAGCCCGCGGGGTCCGCAGGCCGAGGCCCTCGGGCGTGAGCGCGCGCGCGTGCGCACACATGGTGGTCCCTGTGGGCGGCGTCACCTCTCCTCCAAGAGCCCGTTTGTCCCTGGTGTTACGTGTCAGGGGTGGCGTCCCAGGTGGCGCACGCTGGAGGGCGGGGCGGAGACACGATGTGCCCGAGCTCGCGCGCACACAACCCCACGCCCCAGGGCTTGGTTCCCAGGCCCCCGCGGCGGGAGGTGGGAGGGAGGGATGTCCCGGAGGGAGGGCCCCTGAGTAACTTTTCTTCGGAAAATATGTCCGTCTGGCCCCCAGCCCAGGCCTGAGTCATCAGGCTCTGCTGCATTGAGTCATGGCCTCCACCCCCCGCCCTTGGGACCTTGGAGGGGACCCCCCCCCCAAACCTCAAGCCCTGCCCAGGACTCTTCTTCCCTGGGAGTCTGGGGAGAGCCATCCCCGCCCCCCCAACCCATCCCAAGACAGCCTGACTTCCACGTGGTTAGAAGCCTTGGCTTTATTTGCTCTGTGGGAACGCTGTTCGCTGTTCGGTTCACAGGCCCCTCCTAGGCATGGGGGGTGGTGATGGTGGGTGTGGAAATCCCCGCGAGCATCGTGGGGGGGCGTCGTCCCCACCTTTGTCACCCTTCCCCATCTTTTCCATGGGGTCCCCCACCAGGGTCAAGCACTAGTAAGTGGTGAAGGCACGGAAGGGTGGAAGGCCGGACGTGAGGGGTCCCTCTAGGGAGGAGAAGGGAGAGCTGTAGCACCAAGAGCCCCCCACCCCCCAACGCATCCCTGAAAGGGGGACTAAAATAAAGCCCTGGGGCCTTTATATCTGGTAGGGGCTCTACTTAAATATGGGCTGATGGCAAAGAGGCTGTGCCCCTGTGGTCTACAATTCAGGCCACCAGCTGTGGGGAGCTTAGGGACGGGGGCAGCCAGGCTGGGTTTTCAAACCAGGGCCCGTGGGCCGAAGCCAAAAATACCTCAAAGTGGGCACAGTCTGGGCGAAGCAAGGATAGAAGGGGCTTTTCTGTCTGCTAAGAATCCTTAGTACAGAAAGGGGTGTAACCAGAACTGGGCAGAGGGGCTGAAGAGGGGTCCCTCTGAGGAAGTAGGAGGTTGTGTCTCCCCTCTGAGCCCCCACTGGTCCCAAGGCCTGAGAACACGATGGAGTTTGGGGGGACGGGCGGTCCTTGCCTGGATGAGCAAGAAGTGGGGAAGGGGGCCTTTGTGTTTGTTATTTCCAACAAGGCGCCACTGGACTATGGGGAGAGGCGAGGGGTCCTGCCCAGAATTGGGGATCGGGCTGGTTAGGGCCTGTGTCTGTGTGTGTTTGTGTGACTGTGTGGGTGCTCCCTCCTGAGAACGTCAGCCCCCTGAGGGCAGATACTCGTGTCTGTTTTGCTCTCTGCTGTACTCCCCAGTGCCCGGAACAAGCCCTGCACATCCAAACATAGTATGTGCTCAATAAATACTTGAATGAACGATGACTGAATCGATGCCTCTGTGCGTGTGTGTGTTAATGTCAACGGGATGTGCCTAAGTGTATGTGAGGGTAGAGATGCAAAGGCCGGGCAGAGAAGCCTTGCCCCTCCCCTGGTCCCCACTGTCTGGCAGAGGGGAGTAGAGAGACCCCCATCCTTACAGCTGAGAAGGTGGGCAGGCAGCGTGCATGCAGGCTGGGGCGGGGGTGTGTGTGCAGCCAGCTGGTGCTGGGGAGCCACAGCAGGGCAAGAGGGAGGGAGGGCCGGCAGGCAGTGGCTGGCTCACTCTGCAGAGCCCTTGTGGCGCCGCTTGGAGGGCGGCACCAGGCGGCGGGGCAGGTTGGTGGGCAGCCCGTGGCCCTCGAGCTTGGCCTCGATGAGGTGGCTGGCCAGGGCGAACTCCTCGTCATCCAGCATGCCGTCCCGGTCGACGTCACTCAGCTTCCAGATGCGCCCCAGCACCGAGTTGGGGAGCTTGGTGCCCACCATCCAGGTCTTGGCCTTGGTGCCGCTCAGCTTGCCATCGGCGGGCGCCAGGTTGTAGAAGATCTCGTCGTACTTGGACTTGTCCTTGGTCACCACCCACTCGGCCTCGTCGTCCGAGCCCTCCTCGCCGTCCTCCAGGGCCTCATCGGGCCCCCGCTCCACGAACGGGCCCATGTGGGTGCCCTCGAAAGCGCCGCCCTGCACGCCCACCTCGGTGCTCTCCAGCTCTTCCTGCCGCAGCAGGGGCATGAGCTTGGCGATGTCGTGGGTCAGCATCTCGTCCAGGGCCTCCAGCAGCTTCGGCTTCAGCGAGTGGAATTTGGTGAAGTCGTGAGCCATCAGCAGCTCCTGTTGTGGGGTGAGGGGGAGAGGGGAACACTGGGAAGTCAGGGGGCACCGTCCTCAAGGCCCCCCAGCCCCATGGGGGCAGCAGGACCCTTGGGCAGCTCACTTGGTGGCAGGTCCCGGCTGAGAGGTGTGTACCTGTGCAACCCATTTCACTCGGGCACCCACCACTCAGAAGAGACTAGGACAGCGGGGTCCCAGGGGCCCTCCCCCTGCGCCAGGCGTGTCCCCAAGATCACTGGACGGTAGGGACGTAAGTGGCTCTGTGAGGACTTAGACCAGTAGCTGTTTACCAGCCGGCAGAGGATTTCAGTATTCCGACAGCGCTCCCAGCCTTACCCAGCACAGCCCTGGCTCTGCCCAGCCTCTGGGGCGCCCCAGCTGCAGCTGGCCGGCACCCCATCCCAGTTGTGCAAATCGAAAAAATTCCATTCCTGCTGCTCCATTAGCTCTGTCACCCCACTTCACAGCAACGGGTGAGTGGCTTGCTGCCAAGTTTGGAGGTTAGGTTTGGGATGGCCAGATTATTAGGAGCTCCTGGGACAACCCTCCCCCTGCCCCCCTCCCTCCAGAAGTCATCTTGTGCTAGAGCAGCTGTGGGGCTGGATTTGTGGTCACGCTGCTTCTCTCCGGCGGCTGCTCTGAGTCGCCCGCGCCAGGAGACTCACAGCAAAGACCGATCCGGTTCATGGCACCACACTGAGGCAGAGAGGCCCGCGGATCTGGACATAAAGGGGTGGGGGTGGGGGGTCTGGACTCCAGGGCCAGCCTGCCCAGGTCCCAGTCCAGTTCTGCCACTTAGGAGCTGTGTGCCCTCAAGCAAGTGACTTCGCCTCTCTGGGCCTCAGTTTCCACACGTGTAAAACAGATCAATAACATTCGCGCTCCCCTCCCTTGGGGGGATGGGAAAGGCTAATGAATTCATCTGGATAGTGTTCCAGAACTGTCAGTGTAATCTTACCAGCTGCTGTTTATCTAGCCCAGTGGTTCTCAGCCACGGGAGATGTTGTCCTTCCCCAGTGGACACTTGGCAAGATCTAGAGCCATTTTTGATTGTCACAGCTGGGAGGGGGGTTGCTACAGGCACCTAGAGGTCAGGAGGATGCAAAGATCCCGCAATGCACAGGACACCCCTGACCACGAGCACTCTGACCCCAAATGTCAGTAGCGCTGAGGTTGAGAATCTTGATCTAGCCCCAGCTCTGTGCCACACACTGATCTTAGGGGGCTGCAAGCGCTGGCGGATTCAGCACCCACAGCAATAGGTAAGTACTATGACAATGCCCATTTCCCAGTTGAAGAAACTGAGGCTCAGGCAAGGTGACTCGTCCAGACTCAAGAAGCTAGTAAGTGGCCGAAGTGAAATGCAGTCTACCAGAATTCCTCAGAGTCTTGGGTTAGAAACCATCTCAGACCCAAAGGTCACAGGCTTGGAGTATCAGCCTAACGTAGTCTCAAAACAGAGGCTCAACGCCGGGCTGGGGGGCTAGTCCCCGCCTCCGCCACACCTGGTTAATCCTAGACCGGGACATGCAAGGGGTCCCCCCATTCCCATTTGTCCCTTCATCCTCAGCACTGGAATCCCTGAACATTACCTGGGCACCTGGCCACCTAGAAGGAAGACTACACTTTCCAGCTTACAGCCAGCCTTGGCCATGTGGCTACCTTCTGGCCAATTGGATGTCAGTGTACCTTGCATACACAACTCTAGAATTGTCCTTTCCAATACGGGAGCTATGTGTGGTTATTTAAATTTAAATTAGCTAAAATTCAATAAAACCTAAAATGTCAGTTTTAATGGGGCTAGCGGCTACCATATTGCAAGGCAGAGCACAGAACATTTCCATCATGGTAGGAAGTACTATTGGACAGCACTGTTCTAGAAAGTGTCCTTAAAGACAGAGACTGTACAGATAGCTTTCCCTCCCTTCTCCCTCATCCCTTCTTGCTGGCTGGAATGCAGACAAAATGGCTGGAGTTTTGGCAGCCATTCTGTACCATGTGGGGATCTTGGAACTGGAGGCCGGGCATGGAGGAGAACTGAGACAGAGGCGGACTTGGTCCCTGGCTCTGTAAAGCACCAAACCAGCCCTGGACCACCTTCTAGGATTTTATGGAGAAAAACAAACTTCCATCCTAATGAAGCCACTGTTCCTTGGGGTTTTCTCTTCATTCCTTTGTCCTAACGCACACAACCATGCTCTTATGGAACCATTTGCAGGAGGTGCTTTCCAGAACCTGCCCTCCATCCCTCCCATTTTCGAGGCCCCATCCCAAAGCCCACAGAAGCTGACCCCTTCTGCCTCCCTCCCGGGCGACCTCTCACCTGCATCTTCTGGCAGTCTGGGAAGTCACCGGGAGATATGTGATGCTCTAGCTGGATCTTGGCAAAGATGACGGGCAACTTGAGGATCAGCTGCTTCTTCTTGTTCTCCTTCCCAAACACGGAGGGCATCTCCTTTTTCAGGTAGCTGATGATGTATGCGTGGACCTGTAGGAGGCGAGCGCTCACCTGAGCCTGCAGCACCATCACCCGGGGCCCCACACCTGGAGCTCCTGATTCGCATGGCCCAGAGGGGGGCCTGAGAATGTGCATTCTGACCCTTACAGGTGAGTTGCTGCTGCGGCAGCTGGCAGCTGAGGGCAGAAGACCCCCTCCTCTCCTAGACAATCCACCCCCACCCCCCAATCTACATACCAGCCCGAGCCTCTCCCTGGATTGCCTTGTCCACATTCCTGGACAGCTCGTCTTTTGACGCCCAGCGGATTCTGGGCCCGGCCCCCAGAGCTGTGTCACCCTCAGCTGTGCCCATCGTGGGAACAAAGGGCACCCCCACCTGCTCCCTCCCCAGGTGAGGCCAGACTTCCCGAAACCTTTCCTGATTTGATGCTTCTGACTCCTCACCAGCCACATCCAGCCACCAGCGAGCCCTTTGCCTTTTACCTCCTACATCTGTCTGCTCTGTTTTCACTGCTTTCCACCTCAGGAGGCCACCACCCCCACCTCCTCACGCCTGCCTGGGGAGACACAGCAGGCCAGTCTTCTGGCTTCTCTTGCCCCTACAATGCCTTCTCCAGGCAGCGGCTGGAGAGGTCTTTTTGTTTTTTAGGAACAAACACCAGATCATGAAACACTGCTCCAAAGTTTCGATTTGCTTCTTATCCAAGTACGAAATTCCGACCATAGCTGACAAGTCCCTACAGCAGCAATTCTCAAAGCGTGGTCCGGGGAACCCCAGGGATTCCCCCCCCCACCCCAGCCTCTTTCAGGGGTTCACATAGTCAAAGCTATTTTAATAACAATACTAAGGTGCTATTTGTCTTTTGTGCTCTCATCCCCCCCCCCCAGGGGACAGTGGAGTTTTTAAAGGCAACAGGAGGTGTGATACTGTAACTGAAGCAGGAACAGATGTGCAAAATTCAGAGGTCTCCTTCGAAGCCAGACATTTAAGAGATTTGCAAAAATGTAAAACCAGGCCACCGTCCTCTGGAATTTTTTTTTTTTTTTGGTTTGGAGAGAATTTTCATAAAATGTATGGGACTTAGGTTACCAAGTCCTGGGCTTATGGTTATTTAAAAACTGATCTTATAATATCTATTATCCATATTAATTAATATAAATTGAACTATCATAACTCATCGATAACATTTATCATCAATAAATTGCTACTTATTAATAGTTAAATGGTTATTGTTGGTTAAGCCAATATTACTAGATAAATATTAAACATTTTCTCAGTTTTAACTTCTGGTATGGCCAATGTAGACAGATTCAACCCATGTACCTACACACTCTTTGGGGCGCTCAATCATTTTCAAGAGTGTCGTGAGCTCCTGTGACTGGAAGTTTCTCTAGAGTCTGGCTCCTGGTGTTTCATCCTGCATCCCACCCCCGCCCTGCCCCCATGCCAGCTTCCTCACCTGCCATCCTTGTCCCAGCATGCTAATATTTTTCTTACCACAGGGCCTTTGCACATGCCACTCTCTGCCTGCAGCCCTGCTCTGATCTCCCCAAGCTGGCTCTCTCAGCTTCCTCTTGATGTTAACCTCCTCACAGAGGCCATCCTATGAGAAGCAGGTGCCCCAACCACCACCATCTAATTATTTTCTACCATCACTTCCCTGCCCCCCACAATGTTTATTGCAACCCATCCTTATTTTGTTTATCTGGTGGTTTACTTATTCTGTCTCCTTCCATCAGAATGTGAGCTCCAGGAGGGCTGGGACCTTATCTGTTCCCTCTGTCCCCAGCACGGGCACGGTATGCACAGAAAGCACTCAAGAAATACTTGTGGAGGGAAGCAATGAACTTGGGAACCTTTGAGCCCCAATCTCCAGAACTATCAAAAAACAAACAAGGATGGCAGAATCATGAACATTTGCATTTTTGAACTGGAAGCTCAGTAATTAACTGCATATGCTTAAGTAAAAATAGACTATATCTGGATAAAGACACAAGAAACTCCTCATGGGTGCTGCCTCCAGGGAAGAGGCCCTGGAGGGGTTGGGGGGAGGATCAGGGCTGGGAGGGAACATGTTTAACCGAGCTTAAATGCTTTACCATGAGATGGTCTTAAATGCTCGATGGAAAACACTTGTTTGAAAGTTCTCTTAATGAATCATAGGTTTAGAATGCTAAAAATTTTGGCGGTCCCTGGCTGGTTCTGAATCCTTATGTCCTCCCACCTCCACCACTCTGCCTCCTGCAGCCATCCTGGGCTCCTTGTTTGAGCCTGTTCCTGCCTCAGGGCCTTTGCACTTACTGTTCTCGCCTCCTGGTAGGGCCTCCCCCAGACCTCCACTCTCCCTCCTTCAGGTCTCTGCTGGGAGACCCTCCCTGACCTCCTTAAAACAGTCCCTCGCCAATCTCCTTTCCTGCTTCATTTTCCTTCCTGATCCTTATCACATACAATACTGTATGATATTATAGATTCATTTGTTTAATATCCACTTCCCCAGTGAAAAGTAATTCTACAAGAAAAAAACAACATTAACTCGTTTGTTCCCTGCTCTATCTCCAGGGCCCCAAACAGTGCAGAAGCACGTTGTAGGTGCTCAGTAACTGTTGAATGAATGTCACTGAGCCGCCTCAGAGAAGCTGGGTAAGAAGATTCAGGGCGGGGCGCCTGGGTGGCTCAGTTGGTTAAGCGACTGCCTTCGGCTCAGGTCATGATCCTGGAGTCCCGGGATCGAGTCCCGCATCCGGCTCCCTGCTCGGCAGGGAGTCTGCTTCTCCCTCTGACCCTCCTCCCTCTCATGCTCTCTGTCTCTCATTCTCTCTCTCTCTCAAATAAATAAATAAAATCTTTAAAAAAAAAAAAAAGAAAAGAAAATTCAGGGCACCTTGGCCTCTTTGGTATCAGACTCTCCCAAGGTCTTGGCCTCAAATATCGCAACACAGTGAAATCGCCCCTTCTCACCGTTACCACTTCAACCAAAGGACGGAGCCAGGTGACTCATCCACACCCTATATCGTACAGACAGGGAAACCGAGACACCGAGGGGTAGTTACCCAGAGTCCAGAAAGGCCCTGTACTTTGGGGGAGAGTGTGTGGGGAGGTAAATGGTGGGGACTGTTGTTTGATGGCTAGACCAAGTGTGGCGGAATCACACGTGGGGAATGTGTGGGTGACACGGAGCAGGGGAGGGGCAGGGAGGCTCGGTCACAGTTGGACCCTGGGTGAGGGGCACTGGGGAGCCACAGATGGATCCGAGGGAGGTAGGGGAAGGAATGGTCGGTCGATAGGTGTGAGGGGGGGTCAATGGGGCAGGGGCGTGGTCAGGCTGGTGGGCGGGACCTGCGAGCGCGGGCCAATGGGGGCGCGGGGGCGGGGCCTAAAGTGGCTCCTCGGGGACCCAGAAGAGGGAAGGCGGGAGGGCGCTGATGGCTTTTCCAGAGAGGAAGCGGGGGAAGGTGCCAGGAAGAGATAAGGTGGGAGGGCGGGCTGGGCCGGGGCGCGGGTCCCGGACTCCGGGGTTTGTCCGGGTTTCCGGACCCGCCTCCTGCCCGGCGGGGGCACCAGGTGTCCGGCCCGACCCCGCCCCTCTGTCCCACGGCCCTGGGCCCCAGCCCCCGCCGCTGTCTGCGTCCCCGAGGGGCCGGGGGTCCGTGGGAGACCAGGGCGAACCGGAGGGGGCTGCTGAGAGAGACACGGAGGAAGACAGAGGGGGGGAGAGATAGACAGGCGGGGAGATAGAAGGAGAGAGGGACAGAGAATGAGGGAAGGGGAGAGGAAGAGCCCGAAAGAGAGAACGAGTAAGAGGGAGAGAGATGGACGCTGTGAAAGAGGTAGAAATGAGGAGAAACACACAGAGAGAGACAGACACAGAGACAGTCCAGAGCCTGGGTGGGGGAGGAGGAAAAGGTGGACTCCGAGGCTCAGAGCCGTCCCTGCTGGGCAGCTCCCTCCCAAGGAGGATTCCTGGGGCGGGGGTGGGGGCCCTGACTCACCCCCTCTCTGCTGCTCCTTAAACCAACACCTCAGGCTCCTCCACCCCCCATAACCTTCTAGGCCTCCCTGCCTGCCCAGCTTCCTGCCCCACCTCCACCCTGGCAGCCTCCCCTATGAATGTTCCATTTGGCCTCCAAAATCGCTCTCAAACCAGTGCTCCCCTCCCCCTCCCAAGGCCCTGTTGGGATCCAGGCTCCTCCTTGTTCCTCTGTCCCCAGCCTCCTCCATGGTCTCTGGCCCCAGTTTAACAGCCCTTGAATCCACCCACCAAAAGGCAGCCTGAGTAGGACCCTGTCCCTCCTCTGCTCTGAACCCTTCCATGGCTCCCCAGTACCCTCAGGACAAAGCGCAGTTTCCAGGCCACAGCCCTGGGTGGTCTGACTCCTACCTCACCAGCCTCAGATTCAGTTATTTGCACTATCTACACTGGGTTCAACACTGACATTTTCCCTCTTCCTTGAACTGGCCATGTTCTCATCTCCGGTCCACGCACTTGCTGGTCCTACCATCTAGAATTCCTTCCCCTCCTCATCCTCCTTTTCCTCCCATTTGCAGCTCTGATGCCCTCTCCTCCAAGAAGTCTCCCACCCCAATTCCCCCTGGGCTCCCCAGGACCAGCCCTGACCATGCTGGCTCATCACTGTCTGGGGATGGGTCTGTCTCCTCCCCTGAACTGCCTTGGTCACTGCTGTGTCCTCAATACCACCCAACACAGGGCTGGGGACAGGGGAGATTTTGTCGAACAAGAGTGTTGGTTCAACGGCATTCATTCAATAAATATTTACGGAGCACCAACTCTGTTCCAGGTTTTGGGGATACAGCAGCGAACAAATTTAGACGTCTCTGATTCTGTGAAGCTTACATGCGAGTGGAGACAGGTAGTAAACCCAGAAACCCAATGAATGGATGATGTCCGGCCAGGCAGCAATGAATGCTATGAAGGAAACTACAACGAGGATAAAGCAAGACTCACATGACAGGAGCGGGGAGGGAGTTATAGTCATAAGAAGGGAGGGCAGACAGGGAAGCCTTCCCGAGCATGTGGAGCAAAGAGGAGGTGAAGGAGGTGGGGAGCGAGCCAAGTGGGAGGGGAGCCAGCCAAGTGGGAGAGAGGCGAGGAAGGGGGAGGGGTTCCAGGAAGCGGGAACAGTAAGTGCAAAGGCCCTGAGGTAGGAGCAAGGAGGCCAGCGTGAAGTGCAATGGATGATGGGAACGGCGTGGAAGAGCAGGACAGCGAGGAAAAGCAGCGTGGAGGTGGAGGGGGAATGGGACGGCTGTGGACCTCACCGGAGTCCTGGGTGGCTTGTGCGCAGAGATGGGCCATGATACAACGTGACTGGTGGTGGGACGTGGATGACAGGACACAGAGGAGACAGGGAGATGCGGAAATAGAATGATAGATGCGCAGCAGCAGGGGGATGACTCCCCATGCCATTCGCCTTCCCCCACTCCACCTTGCACCAGAATGACCCGGCCTGGAGGACTCTCTTAGACTGGTGAACTACCTCATCAGAGAGCCCATAAGCCAGTTGAGACAGGATGGGAGGCAGGGCAAGGGCGGCCCCTGCCTCCGCGCTCCAGCCCTGCCGCCCCCCACCCCCGCCCTCCTGCGCTGCTCACCCGCACCAGCCGGGCCCTCTTCACTAGGTCGTTGAGCTTGCGCAGGGCGGCGTGGCGCGGCAGGCCCTGGATGTCGCGGAAGAGGTCCTGCTCCTCCAGTTCGAAGAGGCGCCGGTTGTCGGGCACCAGGAGGGGCTGGGACCAGAAGGAACCGATGTAGACACGCAGCACCTCGGGCGTGCCCACCACCTTGCCCAGCGCCCACATGAGCGCCCCGTAGACGCGCATGAGCTGCTGGGTCTCAACCATGTCCGCCTTGTTGAGCACCACGCGGATCTTGTCCTCGTGGCCCCGCAGGGCGCCGATGGCCTCGGAGAACTCGTCGGAGATCTCCAGCTTGTGCGCGTCGAAGAGCAGGATGATGAGGTCCACGCGCTCCGCGAACCAGCGCAGCACGGCCGGGAAGTCGTAGCCTGGGGGTACGCAGTGGAAGCGGCACGAAGCGCAGAGGTCAGCCCCCCTCCCTCCAGCCTTTCGCAAGCATCCATTCCTTTGGTTGGATAGCGGACTGTACAGACGTTCAGGTTGTTAACTTTCGAAACCCTTCTCTGGGCGAAATAGCCAAGGGCCCAAGAGTATCCCACGGCTCTGCCCCGCCCCCAGGCCCTCAGGCCATCTGGCTACAGAGGGCTATCACCCACCCCCTTTTCATTCATTCCTTAGGCAGATATTAATGGCGAGCGCAGGTCCGGATGTACGGGTTGTTAAAATACTGAAGCGTTTCTTAACAGACTCTCTGTGCCTCTATGAACCTCCCCCCCACCCCCCACCCCCGGGTCTCCCAAGTGCCTCCATCACCCCAGCCCCTCCCTAGGACTTCTGGATCTCCCCACAATCCAGCAACTGAAGAGTTCACGTTGGCTCTGGCTCTGCTCTCGCCAGAGCAGATGGTAAATATTTTGAATTTATTTAACAATATTTACAGAGAGTCTTCTGTGTGCCAGGCCCTATCCTGGGCACCCGGAGATACCACAGAGGGCACAGAGACAAGTCCTGGCCTTCATGGAGTACCTGTCTCAACAACGTGCTTCATTCATTCATTCCTTCCTCGTTCACTCATTCGTTCACACCCTTCACTTTTGCTGCTCACTCGTGCATTCAGCAAGTGATGCTTAGGAGAGTAGGGAGGAGGGGGTGGGACGCCCTGACTCGGCGGTCAGGCAGGCCTGGGTTTGAATCCCACCTCTGCCGCCCCCCAGCTGTGTGACCTTAAGCAAGTAGGAAACCTCTCTGAACTTGTTTCTTCCTCCGTAAAATGGAGGTCCTAACAGAATGTGACTTGGAGGGCTGTTGCGGAGATTAAAAGAATATAAATGAGCTAATATATAACATACAATAAGAGACTATCTATAAAGAGCTTAAAACAGTGCCTGTTTAAAATGGGTGCGCTTTAGGCATGTCAACTGTACCTCAATTAAACGGTTAAAACAGGGGCGGCCTGGGTGGCTCAGTGGGTTAAGCGCCCGACTCTTGATTTCCCGGGTCATGATCTCAGGGTCCTGGGATCGAGCCCTGCATCGGGCTCCGAGCTCAGGGTGGAGTCTGCTTGAGATTCTCATTCCCTCCCTGTCTGCCCCCTCCCCCTGCTCTCTCTCTCTAAAAAAATAAATAAATAAAATCGTAAATAAAATAAGCCGTTAAAACAAGCAAACACAATCTGGGAACACGGTAAGTGCTCAACAGTTATCAGTTGTGATACACGCGGGACACAGTGGGGGCCTCCTTCGGGAACTGTCCCCAGAGCCGTCCTTGTCCTGTTCTCATCCGGATCACAGTCCACTGAGGACACAAAACCCATCCCCAGAGTGGTCAGGTCGGGGTGGGGGAGCCCAACGGGAGCACCTGACCCAGCTTGGGGGGGCGGTCAAGGAGGGCTTCTCAGAACAGGGGACACAGTGGTGACCTGGGGGACGAGGCATTACCTGGCAGAACAGGGAGCCCTCACGGCTTGCTCTCCCTGAATCATCTAGTTGAATCTTCAAAACACCCTCGGGAGACAGGCGCTTTTGTGATCCTCATTTTCCAGATGAGGAAACTGAGGCACGGACAGGTTGACGGATTGACTCAAGACACGCGGGTGGGAGGCGCGGAGCAGGAGCCTGCTTGGGTCTCTATGCTCCACTGAAGAGCGGGTGCTGGGTGCATCCTGCCAAGGAGGGAGCAGGCTCCTTATGGTCCCTGGGGACTGGATGGGGGGGGCATTGCTCGGGGGGAGGAAGGGCCAGGTAACCAGAGGGATGGCAGCTGGGGCTCCTTCTCTCCCCAATGTCTAAATGCGTGTGCACACACACACAGACAGACACACACACACACACACGCACACACGGGCCAGGATTTGGAAAGTGTGTCTCATGTGGGGTGGGAGGAAGGAGGGAGGTTGAGTCAGCGTGGGAACGAGAGACGTGGAGACGCGGCAGAGCGTACCCGGGGCTCACAGCTACGACATTCACCGGGAACACAGGTGTCCGCACATCCACAGCGCCCACTGTGTGTGGCACCCCGAAGTGCTTTGCAGTTTTGACATTTAATGTGAACCCTCCGTGCAACCTACGAGGCTGATGCTATCATTATTCCCCTTTTACAGATGAGGAGACTGAGACAGGGAGAGATGAGTGGCTCGCCCAAAGCCATGGTGTAGCAATAGCAGAGCCCAGATTTGAGCCCCACCAGAGGCTCCCGTAGGCTACAATCACACAAAAATGTGGGCACAGATTTGATACGCAAGGGCAGCCAGCCACGCATCCCACCAATGCATACACAGGAGCACACACATCCGGACACAATCGTAGCCGCGTGCTCCAAGATGTGGACTCCCAGACACACCCCTGCTCACACACACACACACACACACACACAAATCCACAGACAGACCGACCGACTCGCCTCCTCTTCCTCTACCCAAGCTGCCAGGGAAGGAGACCCCGTTCTCTACTCTCTCCGCCTCCCCACAACCTTGGGCCCCCACCGAGCACCCCTCCCGCTCTCCCCTCCCGCTCTCCCCTCCC